ATTTGATATTTGTTTTACTCGAGACAGTGCCCTGAGAAAAATCACCTCACATTTCTAATAATGAAATAAATTGGAATCCAGATTAATTAACCAAGTTATTAAAAACTGGAGTAAAACAGACTAGCATGATTGCCTCTGTTCACTAGCTCACTGTTTCGTTTGTTCACTACCACAGCTCTACGAGGGACAGCAGAAGATACCTTAACTCACTTCTGGAGAGCCAATCTACCAAATGACCAGTGAGTTCCACTTCTATTAAACATGAAGGCTGGTGTCCAGGGCTTGCTGAACATATCAGAGAGTGATTAACAAATGACTTCTGATCTCACTAGCATAGAAGCAGAGACAACAGATGGGAGACCATGAAATTCTAGTCTAGGTGATAGTTACATGCACTAGAACTGGTATGTGAATATTTGAAACATATGTGTTTATGGTATACTTCAAAATGCCTCTCACTATTCTGAGAGGCAGTATAATATAATGCAAAGTTAAAAAGGCAGGCTCTAGAACCAGACACCCTGGGCTTAGGTCTTGGGCTTACCATGCTCTAACAGGTAAGATTGGTCAAGTCACTTAACCTTTTTTGTGTTTTAGTCCCCTTATTTTTAAAATGAAAATTATAATTCCTACTGCATAAGGGTGTTAGAGGAGTAAATGGAGTAATCCACACAAAGGAGTGTCTACCATATAAGAAGCACACATTGCTGGTGAGGACACTAACATAGTTAAGAATATTGGCCTCAGGACCAGCAGATGGTGTACAGTTACATCACTAGACTCCTACATGGCCAACTACAGTTCAAGTCCCAGACCCGGAGGCTTGAAACTCACACCAGACACGTGTGTGTACATGGTCAAAATCCTGAGAGGAGAATGGAGGAAAAGGGATTGTATCGTGGCTAACCGCCCCCCTCCCCACCCCACCCCCCGTGGGTGATTTCTTACTTTCTGTCTGTCTGTCTGTCCCCATGGGTAATTTCTTACTTTCTGTCTGTCTGTCTGTCTGTCTCTCTCTCTCTCTGGTGAGCACACGTTCCCTATAGCAATAATCTTTCAAAAAAAAAAAAAAAAAGGATATCAGCATTGCCCCTCTGGCTCTGGATATTAGCATTGCCCCTCTGACTCTCTGAGTAGCACCATAGCAGCTGGCAAGAATATGCGCCTTACAAAAGGCAGCAAAAAAGGAGCCAAGAAGAAAGTGGTTGATCCATTTTCTAAAACAATATTGGTATGATGTGAAAGCAACTGCTATGTTCAACGTAGAACTCAAGGAACCAAAATTGCATCTGATGGCCTGTGGCTGTGCGTTTGAAGTGAGCCTTGTTGATCTATAGAATGACAAAGTCATCTTTAGGGAATCGAGCTAATTAATGAGGATGGTCAGGACAAAAACTGCCTAACTTCCATGGCATGGATCTTACCCATGACAAGATGTCTGTGGTCAAAAAATGGCAGGCTGAAGTTCATATTGCTATCAAGACTACCAATGGTTATTTGCTTCGTCTCTTCTATGTTGGGTTTACCAAAAAACACGATGATCCAGACTCTCTAGATTCAATCCTCATTCAATTACTTAGCAGCTCTGTGATCTTCAGGGGAAGTCAACTTCTCTGCACCTCAAATGCTTCATCAGTAAAATGAACTTAATAATAGCCCAACTCCACAGGACTATTATGAAGATCCAGTGAGCTAATAGATGAAAAGTGCCTTGACAATAACAAATGCTTACGGTAATAAACATTAGCCACTGTCATTTTGTGTATCTACTGGCTTTAGGTTAGATAGAAAACTGCTCTTTCTCAGGGTTTCCAGATTTTTATCACCATGGTCCCTTTGGCTTTGATTCTCCCTCTGAAATGAACACAGGACTCAATTTAGTCTGAAATACAGATAGATCACCAGTGCCATCTACTGGCAGATAGCTGTAAATTCACCAAATGAGGACTGTTGCTGTATAGGAGGAACATTTCTGTGGATATGAATATGATTTTATTGAGAAAATAAATCTAATATGGTTATAAATCTGTGACAAATTAGACACAATGTAGTTGGAAAACTTAATTTCTAAAATTATTTTTAATTGATAAAAATGAGTATATATTTATGGTATACAACATGATGTTTTGATATAAGTATATACTATGGAATGGCTGGATCAAACTAATTAATATATCCAACATATCACCTACTTATGTTAGGGGGTGGTAACATTTAACATTTATTTTCTCGGACTAGCACTATAGTCACACACTATAGTGCACGACTGCAGTCTTCACTACTCAGGAGGTTGATGCGAGAGAATCATGACATGTTAAGACCCTGTCTATAAAAAAAAATAATTTAAAAAAAGATACCACACACATACACATACAACACATAAAATCTAATTTTTTAGCAATTTTCAAGTATACAACACATTGTTTGGGGGTTTTTATTTGTTCGTTTGTTTGTTTTTGGAGAGGTTTTTGCTACAGGGCATGTACTCGCCAGAGAGAAACAGAAAGACAGAAAGCAAGAAATCACCCCCCAGGGGGGATGGCCACACTACAATCCCTTCTCCTCCATTCTCCTCCCCCATTCCTCATTCTCATCAGGATTCTGGGTGCACACATGTACACGTACCCAGTGTGTTTTTCCCACCTGCAGGGCCAGGATTTGCACTGTGGTCAGCCATGTGGAATCCAGTCTAATTAAGCACTGAGCTACAGGGCTGGCCTCATCCAAACTAATTTTTAACATGAAGAATGTATAGCATTAACTGTCAGAGCACTGTTCTCAGCAGGCACTCTTGATAACTATTTTTTAAAGAATTATTTTATTTAACTTTATTTATTGATTGATTGATTGATTGATTGATTTTAATTTGACCAGAGAGGGTCAGAATGGGGTGGGGTGAGGGGCAGTGAGAAAGCAAGTCACCAGGTCTGGGACTCGAACTGTTGTCAAATATATGGGGGTCCAGAGCCCTTAACCACCACACTACCAGCCAGCCCCAACTCTTGATAACTTTTAAGATCCTTTCCAACTTGCTTTCTTTTCAGGGCAGATATATTTGAGGAAAAGAATTAGAAGCAAAAATTATTGATATAATTTAAACAACACAAAGCCTATAACATATAGTAAGATATAAACTATGTGATAGGATAAAGGAAAACATTAATACCATATAAAGATCCCACCATATATCTTTACTCTCTGCAGGTCATATGATTGTTGATGAAAACTTACAGAACTCCAAACTTCAAAATGACTGTAACATATACTATACCAGCTGTCTTTGCTTTGCACAGTGCAAATACGTATGAATTTCAGACCCGCAAATAAAATAATATCAGTCCCCCAACCACACAGTTCAAATTTTAGCCATTATGCTATATTAACTATGCTATATTAACTAAAAGCTGCTTGATCTTCTGTCCACCAATCACTATGTAAATAACAGATGAGCATCACAATCTGTGACCAATCGTGGCAATTCTTTCAAAGTTGCTGACAACTGGTCACCACACATTTGTTATTCAATTCAAACATAAACATCCCAGAGTGCATCATCTCCCTATGTCCAGAGATAAATGCACTTGACAATTTATACAAATGGATAACCAACACATGGTATTGGCCTATAAACATGAAAGTAAGGCAGAAAAATAAACTATGATAATGCTGGATGCAAAATTGGATAGAGTAAATCTAAAACTGGTAACCACAAAGTAAAGATAAAAGAAACTTAGGCCTTCATGAAGTGAAGTTAAGAACTATGTCGAGGGACCAGCAGTTAGCATAATGGCTATGTCGCTGAACTCCCATGTAGTCGACCACGGTTCAAGTCCCCGACCCGGTGGCTTAAACTCACACTGTGTGTGTGTGTGTGTGTCTGTGTGTGTGTGTGTGTGTGTGTGTGCTCAAGATCCCGAGAGGAGAATGGAGGAGAAGGGACTGTGGCATGGCCATCCCCCCAGGGGGTGATTTCTCGCTTTTCACAGTAGTGCAGTACTGCACAAGCTGAAGCCCGGCAAAATGAGCTCTGTCTCTCTCTGTCTTTCTGGTGAGTGCACGCACCCTATAGCAAAAACCTCTCAAAAAAAAAAAAAAAGAATTATGTCGAAAAAAGCTCAATAATCAAAAAAAAACAAGATGAAGTCACTTCCCCAAGAGTGTAATTGAATGTGAATGGCATTGTACAAGAAATGGCTGACTAGGAATGTTGGCATTGTGTCCTGAGAGAGATGTAACTATGCAGCTGGAGGAACTGAGTGAAGGTGAACTGACTCACATAAGTGAAGCAAGTGATTCTGACAAAGTGGATGACAGTGTCCCAGAGGAAGTGACACTAGCATAAATCTTCGCACGAAAGGCACTTGCTCCAATATTTCATGACATTGAAAGTAAAAGGACAAAATGTTGGAAGTGAATCTGAACTTAGAAAGGAATCACAAATCAATTACTAAAGCATAGAAATACGCTTTTCCTATATCATAAATTATATAAAAAGAAGTCAGGAAACACTGTTCAAACTACTCTCGACAAGGATTTTGCAAAACAACAAACAGTTCAATCTCAACGTTTCTAATGTTTAAAATGACAGCGTACTGAATAAATAGTCACTCTACTATTTTTTCATTTCCCTATACATTTGTATACCCACTGTGGGAGTTTTTCATGCCTTGACAAAAATTCTTAAAGGTCACAAAAAATATATATTTTTTCCATTAGTTATTAAGATCATTTTGCCGGGTTTCAGCTTGTGCAGTCCATGTTATGGTTCTGCACTACTGTAAAAGCAAGGAGAGTATGTATTGCCAGTGACTATTATTTGTACCGTTGTTTTTATTAAGGTAAACACAATCATTCAGAAACCATCACTCATTGTACCCACTTTTAATATAATAGCTAGCGCCCTCATGAACATATTTTATAAAGTGCCTGTGGTATCATGATTTAATGTTGGAAGATGCTCTTTCTCTAACCAAAGTAATATATAAAAGAACATTATGTACCTGGCAGTGGTAACTGTACCAATATACCACTGACTCTTGGGTCCATGTTCAACTGATCGGTTATATCCAAAAGTTCTTCCTGAGAAACATCTTTAGGTTTTAGAATGAGCTCGCTACAGATCCCTGGAAGAAAAGCAAGCAGGGAGAAAATCACTTGACTAACTATGGTGCAGATTTTCCATCAATGTTGTCTCACAACATTCGATCGCTTTCCTTTTTTTTGATTGGTTTCTTACACTCCCATGCCACTGGAAGGAAAGGCCCCTCTGCAAAGACCATGATCAACACGCCCGGGAGGGATCTGTCATGGGCTTCTCTTGATTCACACATCACACATTCTTTGGCTCAGTAGCCAATGTGACGACTTGCATTTATTTGTGATATTACTGTTAGTAGATTTAAAGAGAATAAAAATACCACTACCACCATCACTACTAGGCAAAGTTTGACAGACTCAACGAGCCACATTCACTATGTCATTAAAGATGTACTAAAAATGGGCCTCTTAAATGTAAAGTATGCCCCCTGACATCACATCCTAGATGAGGAAATCACACTCAATTGATTCTACATGAAATCTGAAAGAACATCATAAGAAATTAACATAAGTTTTGTTAATTAAATAACCAATGATAGTAATAAATATTACTCAAATAGCACTTATAATTATCATTCAGAATGATTATTCTTTGAAGTAAGAACAGAAAACATATTAAGTAATAATTACAACAAAAACACATACCCACCTACAGCAGAGGCAGCCCTCATCTTGTTCCTGACATACGTGTGGCTCGCTGGGTTGTCGCCCACCAAGATGATACTGAGGTGAGGTCTTCTGTTCCCAAGGGAAATCCATGATGCCACACTTCGCTGTATTTCTTTCTGGATTTCTTTGGCCATTTCAGTTCCTGAGATAATAATAGCTTCGTGTCTATGGAAAACAAGACAATAACTGTAATACTAAAAGACAACAAAGAATATTCTAATGCATAAATTGAAAGAAAGAACAAAACATCTATGCTTCTCCAAGTGAACACCCTAAATTTGACACTTTCCAAAGATGTGTGACACACTTTTCTCAGGTTCAGAGACACATTTATACTTTAGTGAAGGATTCCATCTCAACTCTTCAGGTCTACATTATATTCTATCTACTACGGAATGCTTGTGTCTTCCCAAAACGCACATGCTAAAACCCTGATCTCCAATGGTACGGTATTAGTGGGCTGCCAGAAAATTCATGACACATTAGTATAGAAAAATAGTCATGACTTTTCCAACGACCCAGTAGGGACTTTTGTGGAGCGATTAAATCATAAGGGTAGATCTCTCACGAATGGGATCTGGGTCTTTACAAGAGATTCCCGGCAGCTCCCTCACAGCAAAAGTACTGCCATTTTTGAGCCTAAGAAGCAGGCCTTCACCAAACACTGACTCTGCTGGCACTTTGATCTTGGGCTGCCCAGCCTCTAGAACAGTAAAAACTAAATTTCTGTTGATTATAAGCCACCCACACCAACCACTCTATAATACGTATTCTGTTACAGTAACCTAAACATACTAAGATGTTACCTATAGCATACATTTCGACACACCTGTCATTTACACATGCACACAGACTCACCCCTCCATATATGCAGGTTCTGAATCTGCAGGTGTAGATCCCAAGGATACAGAGGGCTGAGTGTACTATGTCATTATATAAAGAGTTTGAGCATCCATGGATTTTGGTACCTGTAGGGGTCCTAGAACCAACCTCTCATACATACCAAGAGACAACTGACTCTCTCTCTTTCTCTCCCTTAATTTGGACTATTATAGTCATTACCAGCTTTATTAAAAGTTCTATTCTTTCCAAAGAGGAAGATGCATGGTACAGTTAAAACTGGCACTCATCTTCAAAGCTGTGCTACATTCATATATATGTGTCCCCACAGGCTTATAACCCTAAGGCTAAATCAAATCAGTTCACTCTTGGTCAATACATCTCATACAAGACCCTGAAGTCATAAACTCCATACTACACAACACTTTCAACTTAGTCAAGGGAAAGTTTTATTCCACAGTCCCAGGTCAACTCCCTGACAAGAGTTCTCAGTCTCACCATGCTTGTCAGTGATGGTGGTAAGGGTCCGGTTGGGAATCGGATGGCTCTGTTACTCCCCCAAACCATGCATCATTTCTAACAGAAAAAACTGCACAGAGCATTATTTCCTGGCAACTTATAAATATTTTACTGAAGAAGGTAAGAAGTGATATATTTTTGTAGATGGCGTAAACTACTTCTGGAAAAGCACAAAGAAACACATTTTAGGACAGCTTTTCTGCTTTCTGTGATGTCAAACATAAAAGTGAATTTTATTGCTCCTACTGTGTTTCTTTAAAAGTCTTCCAAAAAATAGAAAATGGTTCCTTCTTCCTGTTGCTCCTGTCTTTTTGCTGTTGGAAACCCTGGTGAAAGTAGGATTGCTACACAAAATGCAAAATGGAGGACAATAAATATTGTAATGCCGAAGGAAAGGAGGAAGAGTAAGGAGCAGAAGAGAATGAGGCGAGGGAAAGAAAGTCTTCAGATCTCCTTAAATATTTTTAGTGTATGTATGGTTTTAATTTTCTATTGAGGCTAGGCATCACAACTATTAGCCAGTACACAAAATACAAACTTGCCAATTCTTTCAAATAATTCAACTGCCCTCTCTAGCAGGTGTGTGTACATATAAGTAGAACTAGATCAAGAATTTGCCATTTCGGCCCGACACCAGTGGCCCATAGCATTCATCTAGGTTCACACCATTTTAATGTAAACATAGTTCTGCTAAGAAATGAATTCCATGTGGTCTATGGAAACGTAAGTCAAAAATTGCCTGGGAAGCCTGCTAAACTTGCATTGTCTCAGATCTCACAGCCATATTTGTGATTCTGAATCTCTCTCAGGGTAATTTCTGGAATCTTCATGTCTAACAAGCTCTCATAGGTGATTCTTGTGCCAGACCATGTTTGAAAGCATTTCTTCAGTTTTAATAACAACAAAACAATGTATTTCTTCTAAAGATAGGGTCTTGCTGTGTCACAATTTTCCTGAATCAACCTTCCAAGTATCTGAGCTTACAGGTGAACACCACCATATTTGACTCTTTTCAGACAGAGTCTTGCTAAGTTGGTCAGATCAGCCTCATGTTGGCAGTTCTCCTGCATTTCTTTAATTTCTGGAGTTTGGACATCTTATAGGCGTATGGATCATATGAAGTTCCTCTTCTAGAAAGTTCCTGTTTTTTTGACAATTTTCCTACTAGGTTATCTTTTTAAAGAATTATTTATTTAATTTTATTTATTATGTTTTTATTAACCAGAGAGAGACATAGAGAGAGAAAAAGGGCAAGTGAAAAAGCAAGCCATCAGGTATGGGACTCAAACTGCAATCAGCCATGTGGGAGTCCAGTGTCCCAACCACCACGCCACCTGCCAGCCTCTCTACTGGATTGTTGTGTCTAATTTTTAATATTTACATACATTGTTTCCACCCCAGCTTTAAAATTAAGGCATCAATTGACAAATAAAAATTATATATATTCACATGTTCATGTTTTTATATATGTACATATTGTAAAATGATTAAAGCTAATTGATATAGCTATCATATTACATACTGTTTTTGTAGTGAGAATATTTAAGATCTACTCTCCAAGAAATGTTCAAGTGTAAAATACATTATTATCAACTATAGTTACCATGGTGTGCAATAGCTTTCCAGAGCTTTTTTATCCTATCTAACTGAAATATTGTGCCCCTCAACAAACACGCCCCCATTTCCTCTCTTCACCTAACACTCCTGGTACCATCATTTGACTCCACATCTACACGTTCAACTGTTTTAGACTCCACATATAAGTGAGATCATGCAGTTTCTGTCTCCCTGTGCCTGGCTTATTTCACTTAGCATAATGTACTGCAGGTTCAAGATGCTGTCACAAATGACAGCACGTCTTTCCTTTTTTAAGGATAAATCATTCTGTTGTGTATTTATGCCAATTGTATCCATTCATCCATTAATGGACACTTAGGTTGTTTCTATATCTTGGCTACTGTGAATAATGCTGCAACAAACATGAGAGTACAGATATTCCTTTGACATGCTGATTTCATTTCCATTGGATGTATATCCAGAAGTAAGGTTGTTGGATCATATGGTAGTTCTAGCATTAATTTTTGGAGAGATCTCCGTGTTTTCTACAATGGCTTTAAATTCAAGACAATACTATGTAAGGGTTCTCTTTTACTCCAAATCCTCACTAACCCTTATTATCTCTTGTTCTTGACTATATCCACCTTAATAGGCATGAAGTGATAGCTCATAGTGATTTTAATTCTCATTTCCTCAATGACTAGGGATATTAAGCATTTATTTCTGTGCCCAATGGCTGCTAGGAATATATATAGAGAGAGAGAAATGTCTTTTCCAGTCTATTATGGTTTGGATAATAATCTGTCCCCTCAAGGTTATGCTTTGGAATCTAGTTCTAGTGGGTGATAAATAAATCTTGATGATTGGATCATGGTGGTGCTGGTCTCTGAATGGATAAATATTGTCTCAGAGTTTTAGCTCATATGAAAAGAGGTGAGTTCTCATGGAACAGATTGTTACAAAAGAGAAAACTGCTCACAGGTTTTCTGTCTCTCTCTGGCAAATTACAAAAAAATAAAAAACAAAAACAAGCTAACAAAAAATCTGTATTCTTAATCCATTTGGAGTTCTTTAGGATTCAAGAATTTTGATGTTCATTTTCCTCTCCAGATTTAGGAAGCTGTTATTTCATTAAATAAGCTTTTCCTTCTTTTCTTTTGCTGCTCCTTCTGAGACTCCCACATTCATATATTGTCCCCATTGATGGCATCCCATAAGTTTCAGAGTTTCTGCATTCTTTTTTATTTTCTTACTTTTTGTTTCTTACTGGATAAATTTAAATAGCCTATCTCTCAGCTCACTGATTCTTTGTTCTGCTTGAATAATTCTGCCACTGAAGATTTCTATGGAATTTTTCAGTTCAGTCAGTGTGTTCTTTAGCTCCAGAATTTCTGCTTGGGTCTTTTGTTTATGTTTTGTCTGTTTGTTTTTTAAGGATTTTGCCATAGGGTGTTTTGTGCTCACCAGAGAGACAGAGAGAGACAGTGAGAAGGGAAGTGCGAAATCATCCCCCAGGGGGATGCCCATGCCATAGTCCTTTCTCTTCCATTCTTCTCTTGGAATTTTGGGCATGCACACACATGTGCCCAACATGAGTTTCAAGCCCCCAGATTCAGGATTCAAACCATGGTTAGTCATGTGTGAGTCCACCACCTTAACCACTATACCACTGCTGGCCCCTTGGGTCTTGTTTTTATGGTTTCAATCTCTTGGTTGAACTTCTCATTTTAAGTATTGTTTTCTTGATATCTTTTAGTTGTCTACCTGTGTTCTCTTATTAAGCAGTTCATAGTGCTCCATTTCTTTAGGGTCATCTACTCTTGCATTTTTTGTTGCTTTGGTAGTATCAAGTTCCCTTGGTTATTCATAATTCTTGCAGCCTTGCATTCATGTCTATACATTTAAAGAAGTAAGCACCTATTCTAATGTTAACAGACTGGCTTTGGCAGGGAAAGCCTTTCACTAGTCAGCCTTTCCAGAGGTTCTTAGTGGGTCATTTGCCAGTGTCCTCAGGAAAGTCTTCCTGGTGTCTACCAGGTGCCTGAGTCAGTGGGTAAACAGGCCTGGTGCCTAGATCAACAGGGAATACCCTGGTGCCTATTTGCATGGACCAACCTGGTGCTGAGATCCACTAGAGCGGTCTGCCAATTTAGTTCATGAGAGCTGACCAGGAGCCTAGGTCAATGAAGGCTGGCCTGAAGCCTGTGTCAATGAAGGCTAACCTGACATTTGGATGAACTTTGAACCAGAGTCTATGAGGGCCACCCTGGCACTAGGATGGGCCCATCCCTGAGTCCAAGGAGGCTGGTCTGGTACTGGGGGGAACTTGGGCATCTGGATCTGTTGATGTCAACCTGACACTGGGTCAGTGGCAGCCAGCTTGGAGCTAGAGTCTGGGTGTTGCCCTGGCATTAGGTCAGGCTTAGAGCATGGTTCTGAACAGATGAGACTGGAGGTTGTCTCCACAGGGGCTGCCTTGGAGCCTGGGTCCAAAGGGCCTGGCCTGTCACTGGAGTCTACCAGGTTTAGCTTGAATCCTGGGTTTACTGAAGCAGGTATGTATCCTGGGTCTGATAGATTGTAGGATAACAAGACAGAGAGGGGTGTGTGCATGTGTGCGTGCACACACACACACAGAAAGCCTTATGAAGACAGAGAGGGAAGACAAGATGTAACAACAGAGGAACGGATTAGAGTCACGCAGTTGCAAACTAAAGATTGCTGGCAACAACGAGAAACTAGGAGACAGAGCACAGCCATGGAAATACTTTAAGACTCCCAGCTTCCAGATGTGTATAGATTATTGTTGTTCTAAGACATCCAGATTGTGGTACCTTGTTTTCAGCAACCTTAGTAAATGAATATAGCATAGCCCCAATTTTAAACATGCAATTTATAAAAAGAATCTTTGATGAGTTCACATTTTTCATCAAATAAACTTATATTTTGTAATATTTTGAAATATAATCAAAATATCTTTCATCTTACTCTATCTAAATATGGCACATATTTAAAAAGTCATAAATATGAAAAACTTATTTGATGATTTTTAGCTTATTTGTCAAAGAAAGGTACTCTGAAAGGTGAAACAAAGATAGCATGTATGAAAATATTAAGTTAAAATATCTTCACATTTCAATACAAAAACAAACAAACTAGAATTGAGACTGTTCCATTTAGCAGAGTTTGCTCTTGAATGTACCAGGTGACTTGACATTTGTAGAAAAAGTACTTTCAAAATTAAAATTACTCTTATCTAAAGAAAAGTCCATCTGCAACTTTTAAAAAACCTGCTATGATTTTTATTTTAAAATTAAGCATAAGAATCCTACTAAAAATATTTTCCAGTAAATTATCAGTATCAAAGTCTTAAGAGGAAAACTGACTTGAGTATGTGAATATGTGCCAAGAATAATTACTCATGTTGAACTAAGTTAATATTTATATAATTAATAAGAAATTTTTTGAAATATCAAACTTGAAAAGTTTTGAATATAATTATTTTAGAGGTCCCTTAATATATTTATAAGTCAGTAAATATTACAAATATCTTATTTTCATTATTTTAACTTCCCTTTTAGTCTCAAATATGAATTGATTTGGTCAAAAAACTGATCACCTTGCCATTGACGCACATCAGAAGTGCAGTTGATCTGATCCTTCAGATACTGTTCACGGAATGCACCCTGTCATTGCTTACTTAGGTAATGTTTCCTGCAAAGAAAGAAATATGCCTGACCCCCAAAAAACAGAAGAGAAAGAGATTTGCTTTCTAATACTTTCTTCTCTCCTTA